AGTCTAGCGCTTCCTCTCGACATGAGCACCGTTCCACTGACTCACATAATTGCACACTGACATCAATTAGACCTTAATGAGGGTGCCCAGATTAGATCCAAACAGAGAAAATATGAAATGTGAGTATGTGACCTTTCATGGACTGATAACACGTTTGTGTTTTGCTGGAAGAAATAGATTGGACACTAGCCCAATTTGGGTTTTGTGGCCATAATATTTACAGCATAGAAAATTAGAGGCAATTTGAACTCTTTCAGCTAAATCGCTGTCAGGATACAACCTTACTGACAATACTCATAATGCAATGAACTAATATCTTTTTCTTGACTCTTTCTTGATTATTTGATTAGACCACCAAGAGTTTGAATCAGAAAAAATATGACAATAACGTAGCACACTTCTATCTGAATTTTTTTTCTGTATCTTTGTATACCCCATACAGTTTTACATGCTATTGTAATAAACTAGAAAGTAAGATACAGTGTATACTGCATAGTATGCTAGTATTCCATTCTGAACATTGAGTTTTAATTGATCAAACTAAGTAGCCTAATTGATAGACAGCTTCCTGTTCAGGGGGTGTTTTGTTCCCTCATCAGGATCCAATAGCAGGAACTGCATGTTTATGATAGAAACACTTCCCCCAGAGCAGAATACAGCTCCCATGAGGCCACACAATGATGTCACTGCTCAGAGTTATTGTTTCAGAAAACCAGTTTGGAATTAGTTCAGTCAACCCCTGGGGTAGTTAATGTTTTCATATTGAACACAGAAACTGTAGCAGGTAGTGTCCATGCCGTAAGTTGCAATGGTTACTAGCATACTCTTAAAATGTCACTTTTCAAAAAAAGCTCATGCAAATTTAGGTTTGCAGTTTGTAAATAATTACACTTATCACCTATAACCTCCAGAAATACTGTCCCTTTAATAAAATTGTACTGCAAGCTGCTTTGGATGTTCTTGCCAAATGCCAGAATATCCACAATTCAGTCTGTCCTAAAATTACCTATAACATTAAAGTGTACATGAATATTTAAATTATGTAGCTAATTTTGCAATAACTTTTTAGCTACTTAAGATGCCTTTTAGTGAATGTAAATACGATCTTTTCAACCTCACACAGGTATATGTCATCACATTAACTAATTCTCTAACATTTCACAATCATAAAATATAACTCTTGAAGTCAACTTTTTATCATTTGAATCCTAGCAAACCTTATTTGGTTACATATTTGTTTTGTAGTTGTTTTGCTTGAAATGTGTATTTGTGTTCTCTTTCTTTAAAATAAATGCCACTTGCTTTGATATGTTGTTATCTAATGCAGTGACATTCAGATATTTTTGCGCATGGCTTTTTTGGGCCACTGCACGCCTGGCTCAAAACCAGACATGATCCAATTGAGAGGGAGTTAAATTCAAAGAGAGGCGATCTTGAGTGTGTTTGTGTGTATGAAACAGGGGATGATATTGCAGAAAAACTTCTTCCCTCAGGCTGTGTAAATCACCACACAGTGTGTTGCTGGCCGGCAGGTGTGTCACCAGGGACAGACTGCATGTTGTGACACTCTAAAAGGCACAGACTCCTGGGAGAAAGCAATAATGCAATAACACCCACACACCCCCACACATACACGGTTTCGCTATCTTTGTGGGGACTCTCCGTATATGGTTTTTAAACTGGACAAACTGTATATTCTATCCCCTAACCCTAAACCTACCCATCACAGAAAAAAAAAAAAAGTATGTTTATTAATCCATTTCCCTCGTGGGGACCGCTGGCTGGTCAATGTGATTTCGGATTTTACTATCCTTGTGGGGAATGTATAAACCTACAGTATTTGCATTTCCTGGAAGAAAAGATCAGTGCTTGTAGGTAAAAAAGTTAGCTTTTGTTTTAATAATAGCTGTGGCTTTAGGTATAATAACAGTTATGAACCTACATAAACAGAGACAGGAAGAGAGAAATGAAAAGACAGGAAGAGAGAAAAGAGTGTAATATTAAAAAAATAGACCAAATCACAACTGTGAAAATAAGTCGGAAAGAGCCAGAGGAATAGTCAGTACGCATATCACTGTTGCATTTTGAATGCTTTTGAATAATTAACTTATTTTTATAAATCTAAAAGTAGGCTACAAAATCATAACATCATTGCTTTTTCTGTATTTTTGATCAAAAAAGTGCAGCCTGTTTGAGCATAAGCAACTTCTTTCAAAAATATTCTAACCGAACCCAGCGTATAGTACCCATCTCAACTATGCCCTTGTTTATATTGTACTTAAGTAAATAAGGTGGACATAAATATTTGAAACATGTTTGTGCCATATAATTATCTTGTTGCAGGCCTCAACACCCCCGTTTCCAACTCACCCACAGCTTTCCATGTAAGAAACATTAATTAGTGTGTTTGGAAGTAAACAGAAAGAGAGGTAAACAATACACCGTAACTAATGAAGGAGTGGCCGTGAGTTAAAGAGCAACATGTTCAGATTGGACACAGCAGAAGCAGCCGCAGGAGACAGCTAATGGCTTTTAAATGACTGACAGATGACAGTGTGTGCGCTTCCCTAATTGAATAGAGAAGGCCATCAGATCCAAAAATAACCTTCATGAATTCATCTCTACTTTGTGTTCTTCATTAAAAAGATGTAAAGGACGAAAGAGTGATAAAACAGGACTAATCAGCAAAGCAGCCAATAAATAAATATTGACCCATGAAAAACTGCTTAGATCTACACACTTCCTATGACTCGTCACCAAAAAGATGGTAGCTAAGCATGCAGCGAATGGTGGGTTTTTGATTTTCTCATTTCACTTGCAGCACAGTAATATAAATGTACACTTCTGTCCATAAGCCGATTCTGACTGAACATTTATATGCTACAATGAGACATCTTACTTAAAGGGATAGTTAAGGGAAAATTACGTTTCTTTATGTCGTTCCAAACTTGTACGACTTGCTTTCATCAGATGAAGACTGGGGTCAAAACTATATAGGACTCTGTTGACTTTCATTGTATGGAAAAACAAAACAAAACTTATGTTCTACAGAATAAATATAAAAATTTCTAATCATTTTTCCAAGTGTAAAACTTTTTACAGTGGAAAAAAATTGTGAATGCCTCTTTACTACATTGCTAACAAGAATAACACTAAAGAAAGTCGTGTACTAGATGAAACGCAATAGTTTTGTTAGGTAGACATAAACACATTAAAAAACATGAAGCCCAGAACACCTTGACCTCACAAACAGTGAAATAATCGAGAGTTCTCTGAATCTTCCATCTGAGAAATGCCTTTCATTTACAGCTGAGGAGGTTATAAAACAGGGAGTAAAATAGGTGTGCTGAATGTGGCTAATAAATAGATTGGGACAGGGTCTGCCAATTCAACCCAGTCTGGTTGAACACAGAAATGGTACAAGGAAAATATAATTTACAACAACAAGGTCAGCTAACATTATATAAGACTCATAAATATGCAAAATCCAATAAAAGCCTTTTCATTTGAGATTCATTTATATGTTAAACAGTGGTTTCGGCATGGTAACTGAATTCAGCTGAAACGTTTCCTTGTAAAAGTTTGCATACACAGTACACACTTCTGCTCTAACTTTTTGGGAGTCTTATTGGTAGACCTGATCACATCTGTTCTCACAGAATTCTGCACAAAATTATATATTCACAATGTTACTTGCATCAGGGGCTCCAAATATTATTTCTAAAGTCTAATGTTCACAAACCATGTTTTTGTCCACTGGTATTCTGGAAATAATTATTTGTTGGTTGAGTAATTGACACCAAGGTGCATAAAATAATATATTCCCTTTTTTTCCTCCATTAAATACAACTAAATTCAAATGAAAATATATGGGTTTTTTTTGTCTGTGGCTCGTGGCTGTGACATCATTGATTTGTTTTTCCATTTATTTTATCAATAAACTATATAAGAAGTATAACATTTTAAGTGAAAAGGTGAAGAAAGAAACATGCCTTGCAGAACTCGAGCTGTGTAAACCCAGTTAAAATGTAATAAAAACAAACAGAGGGAAAATGTTTTCCAGTAGGAATTGAGAATGACAGCATCTGACCTTTTATAACCGCCGGTAAATGTCACAAAATTGTTTATACTTGACTAGTTACCTCGAAATAGAGCAAAAGCTCTAATATTTGTCAGTCACTTTATATCATTTCTTCTTCAGGTTTCAAAAACATTTTATTTCAAAGACTAAATTAGATTTTGAAACCCATAACTTCCAGTTCATAACCTTTAGACCCGCCCCCTACATTTAGACACCCCTTTTGCTCTGATCTGCAGATACCCATAGTTGACTCCACAGTGCTGCACCTGCAATATGATGTGACAGCAGCATTGCCAGTTTTCTCTCTGGCTGCGCATCTACGCACCACAGATTTTATCTCCCGCATCGTCTCATCCGAGCATCATCTCATCCACAGCTGCACCAAAACACATCCCCGGAGACTGTTCCCAATTCAATTACATGATCACACATAAGAGGTCAATTCAAACATTTTTTGGAAACAGTCAATGGAAAAATGACCTGCTGTTCTAGACAAAATAAACACAGTAAAGTATAATATGAAAGCAGGATTGTAGTTTATGAAGCTCATCTTTTCATTCATATTCATCTTTTGGGTTGAGGTTGTTGCGTGCATGCACACACAGATTCATGAATAAACTGACGTTTTTACACAGCTTTTTATTTCTATAAACAAACTTTCAACAAACTTGAAAAAGAAAACATACTTTATCCATTTACGGATAAACAAACTGAAGTGAGTAATGACCACTGAGGCAGAGATCAGAGAAAAAAAGTGCTCATTTCTGCTGTGAAAGGAAAGCAATCACTCTTAACAACCATATCTCATCAAAACTCTTTTAATATCACGTCAAGGCAGTCAGTCGCAAAAAAAAAATCGCTAGTCTTTCAAACGGCAAATCCTGCTAAATACTGTTGGGGAAAAAAAGAGCCATGGACAAAGACAAGAAAGCAAGAGGATGCGGAATTGTCTCTGTAGCTTTGAGCAAAACAGAGTCTGTCACTTTCTGTCATTCAAAAGTCAATCATGCCAGAAAAGCCTCAGAACCCTTCGGTTTGGGGTTTTCTTTTGAGTAAAACCGTCCTAGAGGTCACTGCAGCAACACTTATTTGTTTGGAAGTCTCTGAAAATGGCGAGACCACAAACATACTGAAAAAGGAAGCGGTGCAAGTGTGTTTGCCAATGTATGATACTCTTGTTTACAACAGTGATACACACTCAATAACTGGCACCAGAGAAGTTTTATATATGAATATGACGGAGGGTTGAGTAAAAAAGAACAGTCAAAGGGTATAACACTACATTTCTCAGCTCTGGCACGCCGCACAACACCGTTTGAGAGTAAGTGTGCAAAGGAGACAGATCGAAACTGGATCCTGTGGAAAAAAGGGCACAAGCGAGATGCAGACAGACATGATGAACTCAGTAGTACATGTCCTGGAAGAGATTCTGGCCCATCTCAATGTACGCCTCTTTCTCCTGGGCGCTCATCTGTTCCACCAGGTCGGGTCTCTGGCTTACTTCCCTGTAAGAGAAGGGTCTTCCCCCTACCATAACCACAGGGTCATCCCCGACCTCCTCAAACTCGTCATCATCTTCGTCCTCATCCACTTGTTTTCCTGGCCGCAGAGCTGTAGCATTGTGCACCATGTGGGTTGGAGCCTGGGGCAAAGAGTCCTCATCCGATTCGCTGGTATCGCTGTCAGAGTCGCTGGCGTTGGCCACTGGAACGGTCGGTCTGGAGACGACGGCACCTCCTGGACCGACTGCGCTCCTCTTCTCATGAATGAGTAAAGCCTGCATTACCTCCTCATTCTCATCCTGGTTGGCTCCTCTTGCAGCCATGCCCTCCTGGGTTTCTATAGGGTCCTCGCCAGCTGGTGTGTAAAAATTTGAGAAAAAAGAATAATAAAAAACCCACAGCAAATTTAGATGTAATCTTTTTTCTTTTTTTTTTACTTTCCACATTTTTTTACCATGAATGTGCTATTCTTTGCCATCTAAAGCCATACTATAGCTCTATATAAGGAACAGGCCATCATTTAAGTTGTTTTTTGATGACAATCTTTCCTTCCATCCTAGTTCTCAAATTCCACTCACACTTCCATACATTCAAACCTATTAATGACTACAATTCCAAAAATAATTGAAGTTTACATTGGGTTTCTTTTCAGCCTTCTTTAATGGTGTTAAATATGCTAAATGTATATTTTTAACCATATCATGATTTGTGCGGGTGGAAGTCAAGACTTAGTGAACAACAACTTTAAATCGGTATATTTCTCACAAAAAGCTATTTTATGGCTATTGAAGACTTGACAGTTGTCATGTTAAGCCGCGGAGCAACAGCTTGAGTCAATCTACACTGGACGTGACAAAGCAGACTGTTGCAAATCTATTTGCTCTACATGTCAGAGTAAATCAGAAATAGAATGGGGCATCAGTTTACATTTGGGAATTTGTCGTGTCCAGTGTAGACAGCTTCACTGATTATAATGGGTTATATTTGCTTTTGTCATGTTGCGTTGCCCTGCTTGTGTCTGCTGTAGACATGGTGTAACAAACCCATCCCGAGCAGACCTCTATTTGGAAGTCATTGTATTAAAAGAGCAGCTTGGATATTCCGCTCTTTGTGTTCCACAGAAAATCAAAGATGTTTAGAGTGACAATAGTGTGAAATATCCCTTTCAATCAAATAAAGCCCTCACCCTTATACCTAGTTTGACTATGCATTCAGACCAACGAGGAATATGAACAAAAAATAAAGCAGGAAAATCATGAAATTAGTGATGCACCGATGGAAAAATTGTGGCCGATACCGATAACCGATATTAATATTGCTGTTATGGCCGATACCGATATTTACCGATGTCGATATCTCTGTAAAGAAAACACATAGCGAGGATTAGGGCTGCAATGTAGTTAACTAGACTTTAATAAATGGAACCTTATTGTAAAGTGTTTCCGATTTATGTCTCTTGAGTTCAGTGTTGGACAGATCAGTTGTTTTAACCATTCATTAAAGTGAATCGGTTCAAAGGAGTCATTAGTTCGCGAATCGGACGTGTCATTAATGGACCACGGCACACGTTGCGATTATCCCGGCAGTTTAGGACATCGCACAAGATTTGTCTCAACACAGAAAACATTTCATCACTAGATAGATTTTTTTTTTTGTTTATTGAAAGTGGGGTTTATGTCATCTGAATGTGTGGAAAGCTTTTCAGAGAAGATAAGGCAATGTTATTTTAGCACAATTCACAACCAGTGGTAGTTCAGAAAAAAAAAAACTTTACCATCGTGTATTCTCAAAGATATTCAGTCAACTCAATTCATTAATATGCGCGAGGGAGGGAGAGAGAGCAAGACAGTTTGAAGACGATGAGAGTACGCGTGCGCGACCGGGGCTTTCACTCTCTCTGCTCGCTCTCTCAGTTAAACAAGCGCAGCAGTCAGTCATCTACATCACTCGTCATCTACATCACTCACCGGTCAAATAAGGCTTTGGCGGGACAAAAATACGCCTTAGTTAGGCTGACAGAAAACAGCGCGCAAGTTCCAGTCTTCTTGCGCTTGATGTTTAAACTGACAGGACTTGCGCTCGTACATGCGCTCGTGCAAAAACACACTCACATCTACACACGTCAAATACACAGGAATGATTATCGGCCTGTTCACATCGGCCCTATTTTGACATCGGAACAATACCGATGTGTAGAAAATTGACCATATCGGCCGATATAATATCGGTGGCTGATATATAGTGCACCATTACATGAAATACATAAAAACAATGTTAATATGCAGCCATGACCAGAAAGAATGCTTTCATAATGATACAATATAGTTAATGTGACTCACAGTTCTTCAGAGCATCCGTTTCGCTGTACGCCCCCTGCACCGTGCTTTCTGTCAGCCATACGGGCCTCTCTTTGGGGGCTTTGCCTTCAGCGGTCTGACTAGGCTGAGACTCCTGGTCTTCCATGCTGATGACCACATTCTGCGTGTAGAGGTCATACGACGAGCCTTTGGTTTTCCATGTGTCTCGATCAGCCCCTGCAGCTGCTGCTGCAGACTGGGCGGCCCGCTCCCGACTGTGAAAAACAGCAGAGGTGGATTACTAAAGAGTTATGTTGTCGATATAACATAAACCTGACTTATATTGGGCACCCTTTATGACATTTTTAAAAAAATTAGTATCCACTAAAAGTGGAAAAATGCTTTAAAGAAGATGATAATGAAGTCTCTTCTATTCGGTTCAAAATAAATGGTCTATTTTGGGGATATTTTAGTATGCTTAATATTTCTATTTAGCTTAAATTTTTTTTTCAGTTTTAGATTTTAGTACTTCAACTTATTTTATTTCAGTTAGTTGCCAATGCAACATTTTTATTTTTCGTTTACGTTTTTCATCTAATATTTATATTGTATTTTATTTCAGATTTATTTCAAATAACAATAAAGAAAGTATTTGAATAGTTTTAGTTAACTATAACAAAAAGTCTTCTGCATATAACTGGCCACTGAACTCTGTGCTGACCTCTGTTTCAGGGCTGGGATTTCTGCCGGTTCGGGCTCCAGAAGGTCATGAGATAAGTTGATGTTCTCCGTCTCTCGTAGCAATACATAGATGGGCTCAATCTGCTCATTAAATCGTGCCACCAGAGTGCGGGCATCTTTCTTTGGCACAGCCGATTCGTCTTCTTCTACTTCTGTTTGACAGAAGGTACAGCGGAATGTTCCTGTGTTTGAGAGAAAAAGGTCTTAAATACAAAATATCAAGTGTTGAGACAGTAACAGTGTTCATCATCCCTGAGCCTTAACCACCACAACGATCCCATCCATGATGTTTGGTGCCTCTGGGTAACTCGGTTTAGAAGTAGGAGCCTAGAAAATCTTTTCCTGTCAAGGAGCTCCATATCTCCAGTTAGCCAGGGGCTCCAAATTTTACAGAATTTTCTTTTCCCACAAAAATGGTGCCAATTGCGAAGCTGGAGCCAGTGCCCAATCTGGCCCCCATCCTCTGGCGTTTCTAGTTCTGGGCCAGAAAATTTGACTCAGCCTTTCAAACCTGCTGGTCTCAAACCAAGGACCACTAATGTCAGTGGCAAGGGGGGTGAGATGCTGTCTTCGCCATACAAAGTTTTCAAACCAACAACAAATCAGTCTGGCTAAACAAGACCGCTCCCATTATAATTGACTAGATGTGTATACTTGAATTGGTCAATACTGACAATTGAGTCTAAAATAAAATAAATATTTTACAAATACAATATAGTTCAAAAGTTTGGGGTTGGAATTGTTTTTTTTTAATGCTTGGAATATGTCTCTTATGCTCACCAAAGCTGAATTTATTTGAATATTAAAAAAACAGTAGGTAACACTATTTCGATGGTCCACTTTAGACATTCTACTAACTACAAGTAACTTTGCAAGTACATTTCTACTTATTCTACTAACCCTAACCTAACAGAAAAGTAATACTCTGAGAGCTAATTGACAAAGTTCAAAGAGAGCTAGTTGCAAAGTTATTTATAGTGTTTACCATGGTATGTCTGAATACTCAATTCTGATTGGCTGGAATGTGTGCAATAAAACCGTTTGATGCACAGGTAGTTCCAAGTTAGTTTAATCACTGTTCTATATTAATGCGCTGTTTTCATTGAAGCACACACACACACACACACACACACACACACACACACACACAGAGAGAGAGAGCAGAGATCGCGCTGTGCACACAGAAACATTCAGGAGCACAGAAACTTATCAACACTGCCCCGTGACTTTTATTAATAAAATAGCTTCGCTACTGAATCGCTACATTATATTTCTCAGCAAAGAGGGGGTTACATCACTATTTTGAAGTAATTAAACTCACAGCTTTGTTGTTAATAGAGAGAGACTCTGAACAGACGCAGATACAAGTCTCTCTCCCTTTATATACACTCACCGGCCACTTTATTAGGTACACCTGTCCAACTGCTCGTTAACACTTAATTTCTAAGCAGCCAATCACATGGCGGCAACTCAGTGCATTTAGGCATGTAGACATGGTCAAGACAATCTCCTGCAGTTCAAACCGAGCATCAGTATGGGGAAGAAAGGTGATTTGAGTGACTTTGAACGTGGCATGATTGTTGGTGCCAGAAGGGCTGGTCTGAGTATTTCAGAAACTGCTAATCTACTGGGATTTTCACGCACAACCATCTCTAGGGTTTACAGAGAATGGTCCGAAAAAGAAAAAACATCCAGTGAGCGGCAGTTCTGTGGGCGGAAATGCCTTGTTGATGCCAGAGGTCAGAGGAGAATGGCCAGACTGGTTCGAGCTGATAGAAGGGCAACAGTGACTCAAATAACCACCCGTTACAACCAAGGTGGGCAGAAGAGCATCTCTGAACGCACAGTACGTCGAACTTTGAGGCAGATGGGCTACAACAGCAGAAGACCCCACCGGGTACCACTCATCTCCACTACAAATAGGAAAAAGAGGCTACAATTTGCAAGAGCTCACCAAAATTGGACAGTTGAAGACTGGAAAAATGTTGCCTGGTCTGATGAGTCTCGATTTCTGTTGAGACATTCAGATGGTAGAGTCAGAATTTGGCGTAAACAGAATGAGAACATGGATCCATCATGCCTTGTTACCACTGAGCAGGCTGGTGGTGGTGGTGTAATGGTGTGGGGGATGTTTTCTTGGCACACTTTAGGCCCCTTAGTGCCAATTGGGCATCGTTTAAATGCCACGGCCTAACTGAGCATTGTTTCTGACCATGTCCATCCCTTTATGGCCACCATGTACCCATCCTCTGATGGCTACTTCCAGCAGGATAATGCACCATGGCACAAAGCTCGAATCATTTCAAATTGGTTTTCTTGAACATGACAATGAGTTCACTGTACTAAAATGGCCTCCACAGTCACCAGATCTCAATCCAATAGAGCATCTTTGGGATGTGGTGGAACGGGAGATTCGCATCATGGATGTGCAGCCGACAAATCTGCGGCAACTGTGTGATGCCATCATGTCAATATGGACCAAACTCCCTGAGGAATGCTTCCAGCACCTTGTTGAATCTATGCCACGAAGAATTGAGGCAGTTCTGAAGGCAAAAGGGGGTCCAACCTGTTACTAGCATGGGGTACCTAATAAAGTGGCCGGTGAGTGTATATAATTAATTCAAATAAATGCTTTAATTCATTTATTTAAATAAATGTAATCTTACTCACTACTTTATCTCTGTCTGATTCAAAGCTTGCAGAATGCTAGATCTAACGAGCCGTGACTGATGAAAATTACCGTCAATTTTACCCTTCCAGTCAAATATTGCGCTGCAAACATTAATAACAGATTTAAGTTTTCAATGCTGGCAAATGACTATGGTATTGTGGGATAATCCACGGATAGCTGTGCATTAAACGATTTTAATGCACTTCGCTGAGGCAACCACCCTCCGCTTCGCATCGGGCAAAATGAGAAATGCATATATATTAAGAGTAACAGGTTGTGTGGCCTAATTACAGTTACAATTCAATGCCATCTAGAGGATGGAGCCAAACCCACTGCTGACCATCTAATATTATTGAAAGAGGAATAACAATCACAGACACAAGGACAAACCTACACAAACACACACTCAGCCCCAGCATTCACTAGCGGTTCCACAGCAAGCGAATCTGGTCTGGTTTGCCATCTGCTGCTGAAGTTATTTACAGCCTTCTGACAAGAACACACACAGCAGGGCCCGGTGTATGAGTGTGTGGTGTACACTGGCTACTAGCTGAATATAAAATACACGCATTGATATATTTTACAAATGTGTGTACTTAGCATTTAATGGTCAGTCACAGATGGTGCTGATATCGTGAGCTACTTTTAATTGTAGATTTTTACTTAGAATGTCATTCTACTCATGTTCATGTTTTAATATCACAAACACACACCAGCAATATGTATTTTACGATGAAATAATCTCATGTTGTTGTGCTGAGTGCATGAAGGCTTCCGAGTTTCTGGCCTTGAGGGGAATCGAACGAGTAAACGATTCACCGCAATTTCCATTTTAAAAGCTTTGCTGGAAAGTTGACAACAAAATCTGTGAAAGCGCTACTGAAAAACAATCACCTCCAGCTAGGCCCTTTTACTACAGATGTCTTCTCTGCCAATACAGGAGTGGAGGGCGGAAAAGAAAACAATTTGATGAGCACAAAGAGAGAGAGAGGCTGTTAAAAAGAAAAGAAATAACATTCAGGTGAAGGGAAGATAAAAAAAAAAAAACAGTCTTCATCACATTTGAGACAGCTCCAGAGGAAATATTGACAAGCCCTGAGCACAGGAAACATTTTACCGCAGCCCTTCTGGTCAGTCAGTCGGTCTGCATGTCCTCACACAGAAAAGGAATGAAAAAGCACAAGCGATAAAGAATGCAGAGACAGGCTGCATTTTAAATTTCTAAATAAAGATGTGGCCATATCAAGGCGCATTTTTAAACGCATGCAAACATCATGTAGTGAAGGAATAAGGGCTTAAACAGCAGATGTATTCGGGACCATTCGTTTTGAATGCATCCCACACCACTGCCTTTACATTGTTTTTCCTATGTAAACACGCACTAGCTTGACGTGTTAGACCGTTGCGCTCGCTTTTTCAGTGTCTTGCGCATAACAAAAGGGAGGGATTCTAAAAACACAAGTTAACATAAGTTCAACATTTAGGGTGTGTTCACACTTGTAGTTCGGTTCACTTGGTTAAGTTGGTGTGGACCAAAATAAAAACAAACATTTTAAACAACCTAAAGACATAGATATGTTCACAACCTGATTGGTTGGCTTTTATTACATATATTTTGCAACGAAACTTACCGAAAATCCAAAACAATGCTGAGTGCTAGGCTAAATGCGCTCCTTTTATGTACGTAGCCTACATATGATGGTATTTTGACCAGCTAAGAACTCGTGAAGAGAGTAAAGGAGTCAAAATAGCACCAGGAATCCACACCGAACTGCGATGGGCAACATCGCGACTATGACAAGAAAAAACAGGTATGCTTGAGCAGTCTGTCCTTTTTAGGGTCGCATCTTGTGACAATGTCGTTTACATGTCTTTGGTCCATGTTGCGTTCATTTAATTTAATTCGAACCGCACCAAAGTTAGTTTGGAAGCGGACCAAGACCCATCTTTTCAGCGGTTTCGGTCCTCTTGTTTGGTGCACACTAGGGTTTGCTTTGGGTGGCAGCGTTCATACTTATTTAATGAACCGCACTAACAGAGCAATCGTACCAGGGTTCGTTTTAATCGATCCAAACATGCCAAGTGTGAACATAGCAACACAGCCTTAAAAAAATGCATCTCTAGATCTTGTGTTTTTATTTATTTATTTATTTTATTTAACTACCCTGCTTCTTGCATTTTTAAACAAAAACGCTCTGCTTTTCCAATGTTTTAGATTTAACATGAGCACTGTGTTTTTAAGATAACTTGTCAACGCGTGCTGGCACCATGCAGTCTTTTCCTTTCTGCTGCGCTAAGTCTGCCTTCTTTAAACACAAGAATGTGTTCTCTATTAACCAACATGATATCTTAAAAGTGCATTTCTCATGCGTGAGATGTTATAGAAAAGGCGAGCAAGATGCAGTTTAGCAGTTAAAGGGGTCATAAATTGATAAATCAAAATTTCCTTGATCTTTTGACATGTAAGAGGTAGGGGTGTGACGAGACACTTATCTCACGTCGAGACGAGAC